TCTCTTTAGAACACCGGTTTCCATCTTTTGCAGTCACTCACCCTCTGGCTTTATCCCTCTGGCTTTGGGAGTATCTTGTGGAGCAGGTGTTTCTACCAACATTTCTCTTTGCACTTCAGTTAGTTGCTTTTAGGACAGTGTAGGTCCGCAGTCCCCTGCTCCTTCATCGCTCTCATTCAGCCAGCAGGGTGGAGTATATTGAGGAAGCTCATCCTGCTCAGAGCAGCTTTCTGTGGGCTAAGGGTGTCTGGGTGCAGAAGGACCCCTTCAGCTCCTTTTCTCTTTAATTCGGTCTCTTTCACTTGCAGGACCGCTGCATCCACCTTTAAAGACTTTGAGTTGGCTTCAGCCCAGCAGAGACCAGACGCTGTGCTGCGACAGCGCTTCAGGGACCGGCTCCGAGTGGAGGAACGGACAAAATCCTTCTTGACAAAACCAAGGACCAACCGCTTTGTCAAGCTGGCAGTGATGGGGCTCACGGTGGCATTGGGGGCAGCTGCTCTTGCCGTGGTGAAGAGTGCACTAGAATGGGCACCCAAGTTTGAACTGCAGATTTTCCCCTGATGGAGGGAGAATGGTGCCCTGCCAATTTAAAGATCACGTCTTGCCATAGCAGGAGAGGACGGTGTTTCCTTTATTGAAAGGATTGTCTAAAAATGACTGGTGTAGAGAGTTTTCTAGTCCTGCTGCCCTCCATAACACAACTTGCCTTTGTCTCCGAGTCAGGGGGGGACTGGCCCAGCAGCAGTGCTCACCATGTGAGGATGCTCACCTTGTTCTCGCCTCCCTGAGCAGCAAGGAAACGCCTCCTCTCTTACTCTGAGGAATTAGAAGCTAACACTTCCTGAGCTGGCAATGCCTGGAACAGCCTGGCTGGTCAGGTTTCACACGCACTGACTGGACACCTGCAGAGTCTCCCCAGAGTGTAATGGGAAAGGAAACAACGAAATATTTTCAGGTAGATGAGCGGTCACATCTGCACTAGCAATCAGTCTGGGAACTCAGTGGGTTGGGGGAGGTTAGACTCCTGACGAATGATGTAAGTAGCTTTCTGGTTCCAGGGCACCCCTTTCTGGCCTCCCCAGAGCACTCCGCTGTCTAAAGAGTCGTGGACTTATCAACACTCTGATCTTTTTCTTGCTCTGCAGGCAACGTTTTAGTAGAGCAGACCCGTTTTGCAAATTCCTGTCATGGGAATAGACCACCTAGACCAACATTAGGGTTCAAGGTTGTCACCACTGTCTAACAGCATGAGTTACATTAGTGTCCTAATCTCCCCAGTCTAGTATGTTTACAGGAGGGAACATCCATGGGCTTTTTCTGGTCTGCTGGAGAGAGGTCAGCTCTCAGCCAGCCACACCAACTTGACTGGTAATAAGCGTAGTTGGTTCTTTCCGTTCAGCAAGATGAGACAGGGCTGAGTGTGAATTATTTGCCTCAGGTGAGAACAGTTACTTGCCAGGCCATACCAGCTAGTGTTACTACACCGAGAGAAGCCATTTCAATTGCTAACTTTTAAACACAGCCTTTAAACTAAAAGATTCTTCCCACAGTAGCTTGCAGCAGGACAGAAGCCATTGCCACTGGAAGCCCCTTTAAAATCTCTCCAACTAACTGTTCAGACTTTCACATCAACCCTTAAAATGCTGCAGGTGAGTGACTTTTCCAGAAATTGACCCCAGGTGCTTACAGCCCAGCTGCTCACCAGATTTGCCGCCAGCTTCTCCTCCTCCCAGCCCCAAAACCTCCAAGCACCTAGTACTGTCTAACTTAAACTAAGCCAATAGACACTACACATCTCTACCTCCTCCTCCATTGCTGCTAACCTCTCCCACAAGTGCCCTTACCCTGCCCCACAGCTTCTGAGGGGACTGACTGTCCCCCACTGCATCCCACTAATGCCGTCTGCCCCCGTTTCCAGCAGTTACACACATGGAAATTAGGTGTTGGTTGAAGAGTTAAGGAAATCTGAATAGACTAGAAGCTTTGTGCTCTGCAGTAATCTGGAGCCTTTTATTAGTTCTTAATATAGTCAGTTTTATATCTGAGGGACTCTGACTGTGCCCTCTGTCCTGAAGGCACCATGCCATTCAGAACTGCAGCGTAAGGACATAATAGTGCCTAGATAGCATAGCAGTGTGCACCGTATCCAAGCATAACTTTATCGGGTCGGAGCAGGGCTCTGAGCAAAAAAATTGCCCTTTGCTCCTGCAGTTGCTGATGTCTGTGGTATGTTTTGATTCAACAAACAAAAACAAAACAGCAAGAAGGAAATTTGCACAATTCCCCTTTCTGTTGTTGGCCCTTCTTTGTGGGCACCTTGCTTTCTAGTGACATCTGGCTAGTCAGTGATCAGGTTGTTTCCACTCAAGCAATCACTCCTCCCCTTTGCTGGCATGTCTTCTAACATGCTGCAGGTTTAAAAGGTATTGTCAATTTCTGGCTGCATGGGAGTGGGCTGCCCAACCAATGGGAAGTTGCTGGTGACATCCTCTGCAATAAATGGAGTTGCGGGTATGGGAAGAGCTGTTAAATGAAGCACTTTATTAAAAAAAATAAATAATAAAAATCCACTCCTAGAAGAGGAGGGTGCTCTCCCCCAGGGGTTATTTTCTCACATGGTTTACCTTCCTTGCCTAAATACAAACCCAGGACCCTGGTTCCATCAGGGGCACCTTGGATGCTTGTAGTTGATCTCATTGAAACAGAAGATACCTTCCTATATAGCTACCAAGAGAGATGAGCCCTTCTGCAGCGTTTGGCCTGTGTTTAACTTGGTGTGGTTTGTGATAGGCCCAGGCCGGGAATTAAGAAGAGAGGGAGTGTGTGGGAGGATTTTTCCAAAGCACTGAAGTGAGTTGGGAGTATAAGTCCCATTCAGTGGGGTTTATACTCCTAATTCAGGGGCTTCTGCAAATCCTGCCTGACCTGTACAATTAAAATACAGTGGGGGGGGATGTGGCCTTTTCTGTTGTGTAAAGGCAGCCGGAAAGGAGTTCCCTCCCCCATCTGAAAATCTTTCTGCTGTTTTTTTAACATTAGAAATTCAGGTCTTGTCTCACCTGCTTTGCTTATCAGATGCTGGGCAACTAGAGAGCTGGTAGGATTGATATCACAAGTATCGAGGAGCAAATAATGAGTAGTTGAGAGTGATAGTCGACTTTTAACATTGTTTTTCCTGTTAACATCTCTAGCTCCAGCACCAGACGCAGTTGGCAGGAAAGATCTTTGTTAAAGGTTGAAATCCTCTATCCATGCTTCAGTTAACAGGATACGAGAGTGCCTGTTCCAGCTCTCTGGTCCTCCAGCACACGCAGGGAAGAGGAGACTTGATCTTACTGACTCCTGAGGGAAAAACACAAACATCCCTGCTTGCCTTCCGTATGCCTAGTAAAGCAACAGAAGGTGCCATTGCAGGGACCTCCTGTGGCACTGAGTGTGATTTCCCCTTGCGTGTACAGATCAAAAGGCCTAGCAGGTAGCCTGGAGATGCTGCTAGAAACCAGTACAGCTTGGGGATTTAGTCAAACACCTCCCACACCTAAGCGTGAACCCCTGGCTTACACGGTCAGAGTGGTTTCCAGCCCATGTGTAAGCTCATTTCCGCCTGGAGGGGTTACTGGACCTTCAGTACCCTTCTGTGGCTGAGGGTCCCTGGACTGCACTCGGGCTCTCCAGGAACGTACCAGTTTCATTCTCTTTTTACACCTTCACGGAGGAGGCCGGGATGGCCCCTCCTGAAAGACACTGTTTTCTTCAGGTGGTTTATGCTGTACAAAGACTTGTATACATGTGTAAATGCTGATTTGTACAGAACTGTGTAAAATAAAGAGCAATACCCGGTTACCACATACCTTCCCCAGTGTGAGTGCGCCTCGGGGCTAGTGGCTCTGTCTGCCCAGGCACGTGGCTTGCAGCTTGTGAGGTGCCAAATTGGTTTTTCTGTCTCCCCCTGAGCCTGGAGCTGGCCTTGCTCTGCAGTGAGTGAGTCACCCAGTGGTTCTGTTTCCAGCTCTGCCACCAACTCAGGTGTGTCGCTGCTCAAGGAACGTCATTGTTTCTAGTTCCCTATTTGCCACAGGTTCACTTCTGAACTGAGGAAGGGGAAAGGACGAGAGAACGGGTGGGTGAGCAGGGAGAAGCTGAAATGCACTTAGTGCCATGGCCAGAGATGCTGCTCATGTTGCCCAGGTCACTCTTAGCCACCTCGAAAGGAGGCTGTGGTACCCATCCAGTCCTTTGGGCAGCTCGCTCATTGACCCCAGCCCGGAGGCACCATCTGCAGCTGGGTTTGAGTTCATTAGTAACCCTCCTCCACGCTCTGTTCAGCCCTGCAGACGCTGCCGGTGTCCCTCTCCCCAGCTCCATGACGTGTAGCAGGCACGTGGTAGCAGGTGGCTGTTCACTAGAGTGGGCTGATGCTATTTTTAGTGTGCTGTGACTTCCTTCCAAGAAGTAATTTTCATAATAGCGTTTAAAGTTTTTTATGTTGTAGGAATGTTATAGTGGACGTATGACTTCATCCGCGGGTGAAACGCAGCCCACCCCCAGCACAAGAGCAGCTAGTTACCAGCATTCTGCTAGCCAGCAGCTTAGGCCAGGAAGGGAGGCAGACTTCACACCCAAGGAAAAGCCAGGTGGCCAGATCGTGTAAAGGGAAGTGGGATTTACCCATGAATAACCAGGAGCCCAGGCTCTCTCATGCATGGCTCAGGCCCTAGACAGCAGGCTGGGGTAAATCAGCATGGACGGCAATGAAGCGATGCTGATTTGGCAGCTCAGGGGATGTGACGGGGATTCTGTCACAGTGAGACGAATTGCTGACAGACACCAGCCCCTCCCAGTACGAACGAGACACTTATTCCCCAAAGCAGGAGTCATTTGGCCTAGTTTGGGAGTTACGTCTACGACCCACTAATGTGCTGGGGCAAACTAACCCTGCCTCTCAGGAGATGCCATATCTGCATAACCAGGCACAGCACCAATAGGTTGACACAAACTTCTGGTCCAAAAGTTGCAGCCCTTTATTGTAAATCCAGGCGGAGGGCAACGAAAGCTGCCTGCTAAGAACCAACACCTGCCCGGTCTGTCCCCGGTGCCCTGGAGCGTGCCATGCCTCGTGCACGCCAGCTGGGCTGGGAGGTTGCTGGGTCCTGCTGCACCAGCTGACTAAAGTGCCAATGGGCTGCAGCGGGCAGGATGGAGGCTGTAACGAGCCAGGTGTAGGGGTGGTTGCCCAGGCAGTCCCCTGGAGCACTCAGCAATGTTGCTTCTCTCTGATGGGCTGGACCTTTTTTCTGGCTTGGCCACTTGGGAGATGAGGAGCATCAAAACCCTTTTTCACTAGCTGGCAAAATGGCTAAGGCTGCACTGGTGACCTGTAGGATAGGGGGAACTGTGTTTTCCCTAGGGGATGAGGAAGGGCTCCTTCAGGCCTGAGGGCCACTAATGTACCTGCTATCTCCCATCAACTAGAGGAGCCAGAGTGTTCCCAGCCTGCTGTTCCAACCCAGCCCGGTCATCTTCTACACAGCTGCTGCGGAGGGACACATGAAGGGAGCAGCTCATGAGGTAGGCCCCCCCCACAACTTGCACAGGGCACTTGGTTCCCAGCAGGGGAGGTCAACCCCCAGCCTTCTCCTAAGTCCGCCTTCAATACATGAAACAGGAACGCTCCGCTCGCCCCACGGCTGCTGATCTGCACAGTCCTTCCCCTAGCGGAGACGTGGGTCTGTGGTGGGCTCTGGGAGCCAGAAACCTACAGGCCTAGCCCCCAGCTGTGGTGGTGTGGTGGGGAGAGTAGCCAGGGGCTCAAGGGGAGCTGTGCTCCCCCCCAACGGGGCTGGGGCACTGCGTAGAAAGCAGCCACCCCATCCTTCCTCTTGGCTCCTGCGTGCTCAGTGGCAGTTCTGACAGCGGGGATGGCAAGGAACGCCGTTCAGCCTGCAGCGGCAGCCACCACTGGTGTCGCCCGGGCCCTGGGGAGAGGAGAGCAGAGGAGAGATGATGCACACACAGGGACTGGAGTCAAACGGTGGACAGGTGGGTAAGAGGCAGTCAGGACGTGGGACTGGGAGTGAGGTGGTTGGCTAAGCTGCTGGACAGGTGCAAGCAGGGCTGAGTTTGGGGCAGGCTGGAGGCAGGCAAGGCTCTTGGCACTGGAGGGGGGAAACGTAATGGGGGGAGCACTGGAACTAACTCCCCACTCCAGCAGCCAGCTGAGTTGTGAGCCATGACAGCCCTGGCTGGCTCCTGTACCCCCGCCAGCCACTCCAGCATCCTGAGGGCCAGCTGTGTGCAGCAGCAGCTAGTTATTTAAATGGTCACAATTAGGCTTCAGAGTGAACAACCCTACTGCATCCAGTGGTTCATGCCTCTCCGAGCATGTGGTTTGGGCTGTGTGCAGACTTGAGACTCGTGTTGGCAGGTCTTTTCAATTCTGGGGCAAGCGACTCTGCAGAACGGAAGGATTCCCAAGGTCGAACCTACAGTCGCACACACTGGTTCATGCTCCAAACCTACCGCTGATCCCCAGCGCGGCCCCTTGGTCACCCAGCAGATCTCCGTGTGACAGACAGTGCAGCGGATCCAGTCACAGCCATCCTTCTTCTGGACAACGATCTTACAGGTAGGACAGTACATGGCCTCCCCTTTCTGGACCATCGTCTGAAAGGAGAGGAGGGCAATGATAACGCACACAGGGGAGCTGATGGCCCCGGCTTCCCTTTCCGATCCTGGATCCCCAGCAATGCCACCGAAGACACTCAGTGGGATTTGCCCTTCGCAACTGATGGGGCTAGCATCTGGGCTGCCCCGAGCTCAGAATCAGTGGACTGCTTGCTTTACCTGGCTCTCTAAAGCCAATACTCCCTCATTTTGGACCATTGCACCCACAGGGTAGCAGAATGCCCAGGAGCCGAGCCATGCGAGCGCCTATTGGTGCAGTCACACTCCACTGGTCTGGCAGTGGAAAGCTGGGCGTTCCCCTATCTCCCACTCTCTACAGCCCCCTCCCCTTCTGCCCGCATCAAGCCCCACTGTCTGGTCAGTGCATTTCCTAAAGCAGCAGCAATGGCTGAGAATGGTCACGTGACTTTCTTTACCATTAAATCTGCAATGCCTCCCTGGCCACATTCGGTGCTAGCCTGCAGCCCCTTCCTGTCCATCCATCTCTCCCCCCCACACACACCCGTATCACTGGCATCCCAGTGCCCCGCTGTCTACACATTGCTCTGCCCACAAAAGGGCCAGGCCAGAGTGGGCTCTTACTGTCAGCATCTCGGTGGTCTGCCTGGCAGCCTGGTCGTTCTGAGCCCGGAGCTTGAGGTCGTCCTGATACTCCTTGCAGTTCATGGTCTCGTGAATGGCCTGGGGAGAGCATCCTGCTAGCTCACCAGGCTCTCGCACGCCTCACGCAGCAGCTGCTACGGACTGGCCTTGTTTTCCACCTGCTGCTCCCCCCCGTAGTACCGAGCTCCCAGGCTCAGGGGCCAGCACATGTCACCTCCCCCCAGCTACATCAACTGTGCCTAGGGGAACACATCTCCTCCAACACAACCCTGGGGTCACTGAGATGGACTGGACCCCGGGGCCCCCCCTCACACCGCAGGGCAGGGCCCACATACACATTCCAAGCCTTTTTTGTGGGGCAAGGATACATGACCGGAGTTGAGGGGAAGATCAGAGTGAGCTGGGGCTGGCTCCAGGAGAGGGATGGAGCGCAGGGCAGTGGCGATGGGCTGCTGTTGGCAGAGCTAAGGCCGTGGCCCTGTTAGCAGGCTCTAGCTCCCCTCTAGGAATGCGGTTCTCTTTTCTGTCTACTCGTCCCTTGCACTGACCTGTTCCAGACAGAGGCCAAGGGACCATGGCAGGCAGCATGTGACACCATGGCTCTCGGGCTGCATGGACGTGATGCCAGGCTCATCTAAAGCCCTGGGCAGGGCCTTCGCCAGTTCCAGGGGCGGCCATGCTGCGCTAGGATGGAGCAGGGCTCGTGAGCTTGGTCACTGCTGCCACACACAGTTCAAAGGCCCCCCAGCTGCTTTAAGGCTGCATCCCCCCCTTTCCTGAACACAGCCATGCCCCATGGCACCTGGCTTCGCAGAGCCCAGTGGGCTCTGAACTCCCCTTCCCCCGTTCTGGCCTCTCGGCCTAGGAAGCTGCAAAGATGCTGGGGCGAAGGCAGGTGGCATCTCACCTTGCAGAGCAGGCAGTTCACCTTCTGGCACACGGGGCAGGCAAACTCGTTCACGTCGTCCTCGAAGATGCACCAGCCCCGGCAGTCCGTGGTCTTGCAGTGGTAGCTGGACCGGCTGCGGTTCTCAGCGATGGAGACGCCCAGGTCCAGGAAGTGCTGATATTCAGCAGAGCTCAGGAGCTGTGAGTGGGACCCAACCCTCTCCATCAGCACCGAGTCACTTGCCCGTCCCCTGGCAGTGCACTGATAACAGCCCCATCCTCTTCTCCCTGCCCCACATCCCCCTGCTCCCTCGCAAAATAGCTGCCCCAATTCCCTTGCTCTAGCCCAGCCTACAGGACCCAGCCATGCTGGCATGCCATTGCTTTTTGGGTTGTATCCAGTCTCCGCTGTGCCTGCAGCTCCCAACCCACACCTGACTCTGTCCCCTCCTACTCCAGCCCCATGGGCCCTGGCCTGTACCGCTTTGATCTCCCGTTCCAGCAGCTGTCCTGGGCAGGAGTACTTCTCGTCGATGTACGGACAGGGCACCTCGGGCTCCGGGCTATTCAGTATCGTCCCCTTCAGACAGTCCCTGTGAGGAGCCAGGGGTCAGAGGAGACACCAGCAAGACACAAGCACGGGGCAAGCTGCTTGAAGACTGAGCTGGACGGGGTCACCTAGGGGCCAACCTAGGCAGCAGCAGAGCCAGGCCTGAGGTAAGGAGAGGAAATCCCTCCAGCAGACCTGGCCAGGGCAGCATATGCAGCCTGCCTGGGGCCCCCAGTCCCTGGGTGGGTACAGAGGGGATTACAACAGCACAAGAACAGCCCTACTGGGTCAGACCAAAGGTCCACAAGCCCAGTATCCTGTCCTCTGACAGTGGCCAATGGCGGGTGCCCCAAAGGGAATGAGCAGACAGGTTATCAAGTGATCCATGCCCTGTCATCCAATCCCAGATTCTGGCAAACAGAGGCAAGGGACACCATTTCTGCCCATCCTGGCTAATAGCCATTGATGGACCTATCCTCCACGAATCTATCTTGCTCCCTTTTGAACCCTGTTATAGTATTGGCCTTCACGACACCCTCTGGCAAGGAGTTCCAGAGGTTGACTGTGCATTGCATGAAAAAATATTTTCTTGTGTTTGTTTTAAACCTGCTACCTATAAACTTCATTTGGTGGTTCCTTGTTCTTGTATTATGAGAAGGAGTAAATAACACTTCCTTATTTACTTTCTCTATACCACTCATGATTTTATAGACCTCTATCATATCCCCCCCTTAGTCGCCTCTTTTCCAAGCTGAAAAGTCCTGGTCTTATTAATCTCTCCTCATACGGAAGCTGTTCTATACCCCTAATAATTTTTGTTGCCCTTTTCTGGACCTTTTCCAAATCCAATATATCTTTTTTGAGATGGGGTGACCACATCTGCACACAGTATTCAAGATGTGGGCATACCATGGATTTATAGAGAGGCAATATGATATTTTCTCTCTTATTATCTATCCCTTTCTTAATGATTCCCAGCATTCTGTCTGCTGCTGCACATTGAGTGGATGCTTTCAGAGAACTATCCACAATGACTCCAAGATCTCTTTCTTGAGTGGTAACAGCTAATTTAGACCCCATCATTGTATATGTACAGTTAGGATTGTTTTCAAATGTGCGTTACTTTGTATTTATCAACATTAAATTTCATCTGTCATTTTGTTGCCCAGTCTTCCAGTTTTGTGAGATCCTTTTGTAGCTCTTCGCAGACTGCCTGGGACTTAACTATCTTGAGTAGTTTTGTATCATCTGCAAATTTTGCCACCTCACTGTTTACCATTTTTTCCAGATCATTTATGAATATGTTAAATAGGACTGGGCCCAGAACAGACCCCTGGGGGATACCACTATTTACCTCTCTCCATTCCTACCCTGTGTTTCCTATCTTTTAACCAGTTACCAGTCCATGAGAGAATCTTCCCTCTTATCCCAGAGACTGCTTATTTTGCAATTGGCTCCTTTCCACCTACCTGCAGACTGGCACCCCAAGTGGGACTGACTTGTACATAAGCTAGCAGCCCAGCAATCAGCTTCCCCTGGTACACAGATCTATACGGTACACAGCACAGGAGGGGGCTCCACTCGCAGATCCTTAGGAGGGAATCTAGTGCTCCCTCACCAGGTCCCTGCTGCACTGAAACAAGCTGCCAGCTGATCGAGGGACACTGCCAGGGACTCGGAAGCCTTTGGCTGGGCAGCCCAGCCAGCTAGTGCTGCCCATCTCCAATCACTCTGGGTGCGGGCTTGTCATGCAGAAGGTTAGTAGCTGCAGGGCACAGGGCTGGAGTTAAAGCCCCTGCAGGTAGGTGGCTAATTGGTGGCACAGGCTGAGGGCTTGGAAGGGGGCTAGCAGAGAAGATGGAGCAGGGTGGTGATGATTGCATCCCTGCTCTGGCACAGGGCCTGTCAGCGCACAGCACACTGTCTCCAGTCCCATTTTCTCCTACTCAGGGGCCAGTTTGAAGCCTTTGGGTCGAGCAGGAGCACAATCCCACCTGGGACTGGGCCCCGTGGGGGTGGATTAAGATGTGATGAACACCTTGGTGGGGGAGGGGCCCTGACACACTGCTTTTCCCTCCCTGCCTCCCTTCCTGCTAGTGGTTCCTGTCTGGCAGAGCCCTGGCTCCCCACAGCTGATGGGATCCCCATAGATTTTTGGGTAGCCCAGGCCAGTCCATCCACCCTACACAGCAGGGCCAGGCTAAGAAGACTAAAGCAAGAGCATAGTCTCTTAACAGGATTCAGCCAGGCTAGTTCCTGTCATGCTACCAATCTTTAGCCATATGGGGCACGCTGCCGACGCCCTGTTGGCAAGTATGCCAGGGGAATGCTCTGTCTGTCTTAGCGCTGCCCAGTTGGGCAGCTCTTCCAGCCAGGGGACGTGCAACCAGGCGCTCTAACCCAGAGACAAAAACCAGCTGGCAAAGCCTGGGAGGTTCTGAGGCAGGTAAGGCTCCCAGGGTGGAGGCCAGACAGGGAAGGGGCTGGGGCTCCTGTGCACAGGCCAGCCGGGCAGGAGAAGGGCCGGGGCTCCCGGGGCAGAGGCCGGATGGCTGGGCGGGAGAGGGGCCGGGGCTCCTGGGGTGGAGACCGGATGGGAGAGGAACTGGGGCAGAGGCCAGCCGGGTGGGAGAGGGACCAGGGCTCCTGGACGCAGTCTGGCCGGGTGGGAGAAGGGCTGGGGTGGAGGCCAACCGGCTGGGGAGGAGAGGGGCCAGGGCTCACGGGTGCAGGCTAGGCAGGCGGGAGAGGGGCCGGGGCTCACGGGTGCAGGCGGGCCGGGGTTAGGGCCGACCCACCTGCAGAAGGAGTGCAGGCACTCCCGCAGGGTCACCCCCTCTCCAGGCTGCAGGGTCACAAAGCAGATGGGACATTCGATCACTTCATCGGCGGGCACCAGGCTCTGCCCATCCAGCTGCAGGAGGTGCTGGTAGTTCTCAATCTTCTGCTGCTCTGTCACCTTGGCAGAGAGAACAGCCAGTGTCAACAGGAGGGGCTGGCGGGTGGGGCACTTCGCTTACATTTGCTATTAGGAATCTTGACCCCTACGGGGCTGTGCCCTGGCCTCTCTACACCACCCCAGCAGCTCTGTGCAGAGGGGATTCCCCAGGGTTGCAGGGACAGTGAAAGGGCCTCCCAGAGCAGTGGCCAGGGAAGGGAAGGAACCTCGCTCCAGCTGTTCTGGGCTGCCAGTCTGTCCCCTAGAGACGGTTACAGCCTGGGTGTAAGTTAGAGCAGTCCCTGGGCTGCTCTGACTTACCCCAGGAACCAAGCCAGCCCCTTGGCCATGCCACAAGTCTGGAGGCTCAAAGGCAGGAATTAGTGAAGTCTGTTGGCTGGGTAACAATAAGCCAGTGCTCACCTGCTAGGTGGAGAGCCCCATTCAGCGGCAGGCAGCTCAGAGACCCCCCTGAGCTGGGGGGCTACTGTTTCCCCCAACCTATCTCAAACCAGGGCTTGTTTTCAGAATGTCCTTTCAGCCTCCCTCCCTCTCTGTCTGTCTCTGATAAACAGTGCCCAAGGTCAGCCCCACCCCAGCCTGTCCGGCCTGGCCAGTCGGCTGGGGGAGGGGAAGTAATTAGTAACCCAGCAGTGACTTCCAGCCATTGATAGATTTCAGAGCTGTCCAGAAGGGAACTGAGGCCCAGATCACCCAAAGATTTGGGCGCCTCAGCCAATCAATAAGTGACTTGCCCCCAGGGAGGCTGTGACAGGGCCTGGACCCTCAGGCCTGCTCCTTCGGAGTCATTGCAAAAGCTTCATGCAAATAAAGAGAGGGAGAAGGGACTCTGGGAAGGAATCAGCCTCCTCTGCCATCACTGGGTGCCTCCAGCTCTCCCTTGCATGCCCACCCTGTGACGGGAGCTTTCCCAGCCCAGCACGCCCCACGATGCTCCGTTAAAACCAGGAGCAACACGCAGCTGCAGCCTGCGGAGTCCATTGCAGCTGGCCGCTGCAAGCTGCACCTCCCTGCCCTGCACTGGCTCTGTGTGGCTGCGGGTAACAATGGGGCAGGCCCCTCGGCAGCATAGCGTGAAGGCTGGAAAGAGCCTGGAAATGAGGCTCTTCTGGATCTGGTGCAGAGCGCAGCTCCGCTGCTGGCCCCGGCAAGGTCGGGGCGACGGGCCCCACTGCTGGAGATGAGGCACCGCGAGCGCCTGGACCTGCCTGGGGCCAGGAGAGGGGTTGGGCCCCCTGCCTCGCCAGAGCAGGCTGGGAGTAACGGGCCCCCCTCGCAGGCCCCGCTCTCTCACTCCCGAGCCAGCGTGACTCTCCCCTCCCAGCTCAAACGGAGGCCGGTGCTAGCCGCCCCGTGCCTCCCAGCTCAGCAGGGGTGAGGCCAGCATAACTCTGTGCTCCCGAGTCCTCCTGGCACAGGCTAGACAAGCCCCATCCACCTCGGGGAGAACTGGAGTAGCATGAGGGCAGCTCCCCTGACGAGCGCCCCCCTTGGCAGCATGGAACCACCACCGGAGCCCTGTGCAGCTGAGCAGCGCCAGCCGGGTGTGCAGCTGGGCTAGAGGAACCGGTGACCCCCATCCCCGCCTCCTGGTCAGTCTCTGCGCACGGGGCCCTGTGCCAAGAGACACCCCAAGGGACCAGCCTAGTGGAGCCAGGGCAGGGTGCTGCACCAGGAGCTGCATTACAATGCTTGCTTATGGCAGGGGGTTGCCTCTTGATAACAGTGCACAAGGCAGGATCTGACCCACAGCTCCCCAGCGTCCCAGCCTCCAACCTGTTGGTACTGCCGCATGGCTTCCTCCTCATTCCTCATCCTCGCCAGCTCCTCCTCGTCCGGCTGGTAAGCCACGGGCACCATGTAGTCCTCAGGCCGCTCCTTGCAGCAGATCTCGCAGCCGGGGCGGGTGGGCTTGTTGACATAGGTGCAGCTCGGACAGACCCAGCCGACCTAGGAACAGCCCCGGTGAGAACATGGGAGGTGAAAGAAATGAGCCAGAGGGGGGAGTTGGCACCCTGCTTCTGGGACTCCCTTACCTTGGGGGGTTCAGGGGGAGGGGCGGCTTCCGCCTGCAAGAGCTCATGCCTCAGCTCCTCCATGCACAGGCTGTCCTGCGCCCCTCCGAGCCCCGCATCCACCTGTTCCTGGCTCCCGCGAGGCTGCAGGAGAATGTCGCTGAAGCCCAATTCTAGAGAGAGGCAAGAGGGAGTGAGTTGCTGACAGGAGACAGAACTCCCTGCTGCTCCCACGTGCTCTGGCCATCTCTCAGGAGCCAGCACTTGGTGCAGCCCCGGATTTCAGCCCCTGCTTCTTGCCGTCGCCCTGCAAGGGACGTCTCCTCCTGAGACCCGCGCTAGCCCTCAGCCCCAAGTCCAGCAGTCCCCGCTGCTTCCTGCCCAGTGGAATTCCCCAGTGCCAGGCTCTGCCTTTGGGGCTCCCCTCGGCCGCTCTGCCAGCCTCACCTGCCAGGACTCGGCGCTCCCACTCCTTCTGGAATGTCTCTTTGCTGAGCTTGGCCTCTTTGGCAGACCTGAGGTAGAGATAGGCCATGTCGCCGTCTCGCTGGATGCCATTGTAGTGCAGGGTCTCCTGGTCTCCGGGGAGCCTCTTGCCCACCACCCACTGCTGAACGCTGGGTGGGAAGCCGTAGAGGAGGAATACCTGGGCCAGGAGACACCGAGGGCCTCGTTCAGAACCAGCTGGCCACCAGGTGCTGTTGAGGGCAGTCGCTCAATGACCTTACGTGGGCGCCCACCGGCAATAGGTGCCTCATGCGGGAGCCAGCAGATCACGCCACACAAAGCAAGGCAAGCAGAGGGCAGCCCAGGAAGGACAGGCGAGGGGTGTCAGTAAAACGACAGATACTGCAGCCAGCTGGCAGGCTACTTGCTGCCCACGAGGCGGCTGCCGCCTTCAAGGCCGGTGCGCGGTCTCCCCCACTCTTTGTGCCATCAGTGCCCCCGGCTCCAGCCCACAGGCCCGTACCATGTCCTTCAGAGAAGCCAAAGTCATATGAGGATTGACTTTCAGGTAGATGGGGACTGTGGTCATCTGGGCGTCCTCCACTCCCACCCACAAGCTGAAAGAAGAGAGGCAGTGAGAGCAGTTCTGGTGTCCCTCCTGCCCTCCCCGAGGTCCTACCGCAAGGTGCGTGCCTGGCTCCCGGCACCTGCCTCAGCCGCTCAGACTCCAGCTCACATGCTCCTGCTTTCTGTCTTTCCCATCCTCCTGCTCACGTGGCCCAAGTCGCCTCCCCCCGGCTGCTGGTCTGGGGAAGGAGCTCGGAAGGGAAACACCGTTGCCTCGTTCTTCCCTACTGAGCCCAGGGCTGGCCCACCTCTTGGTGCCAGACGGCTGCAGACCTGACAAGGGGCTTTGACCCAGGGACCATCAGTGCAACAGGTGCAGCCTCCCCTGCTGGAACCAAAGCCCTAGGTCTTCAGCGTCTCCTGTGGACTAGTCACTAGAGAGGGGCCAAGCCCCATTCCCTCCTGGCCTGGCTACACCTCACACTGGAGCTGCCCGCGGTTTATGGAGTGAAGGAGGCCAGGGCCACAGGAGGGAGACCCAAGAGCTGCAAATGGGGAGCCACCCATTCTGGGGAGAGAGCGGCCATGCCCCAGCCCCCTGCTCCCTAAATCTCCTGCAGTGGAGTCTCTCGGAGCAGTGTCCTAACACCCCTTTTAAAGGGACAGTGACCACGGTTGGCCACCACCCCCATTCCCCTGAGGCCAATGGACGGCACCCACACGGGTGCCCTCCCTGCAGAAGCTGCCCAGCACGTGCTCACCTGATTTCCTTTTTGGGGTAGGCCTCTGGCTTCACCTGCACTGTCACGGGCGCCCGCTGCTCGGCCAGCCAGCCAGCGCACTCCAGTGCCAGCTCCTTGTCCCCTCCCTCGATGGCCTCAGCCAGCTTCAGGGCCAGCTCCTCTGCTACAGACAAGAGACCAGGCTGGGCTGGGCTGGGCCCTACTGGGGGGTCTCCTGGTTCAGGGCCAGGGCAGGACCTGTTCAAAGAGCCCTGTGGGCTCCATCTAGGGCCTGGCAGGGGAGCTGCTGGGAGCTGTTTGCTGCCCAAGTTGCTAATTACCTTAGATGAGTATCATTATTTAGATTTATGCAAAGATTAAGAGAGGTCCCTCCACGGCTCTGGGGGCCCCCGTCAACAAACTGCCGCCCCAAACTGAGCTGCCTCGCAGAACAATGAATTCCCTTCCCCACACACATCTGCTTTCTCTGCCCGCCACCCTCCATCTCCACCAGCGTGTCCTGCAGCATGCCCACTTAGGGCCATACAGGCCAAACCGCTGTGCACCGGTGGACGTTTCCCTAGGCCCCCACATGGAGGGGCTTCCTCGGATGCCCCAGTGACCCCACCTTTCTTCGTCATCTCTTCTGTGTATTTTGTCCCCATCGCAGCAGAATCCTGGGGCTGTTTAAGGCAAACAGAAGCATGTCAAACCCGGGCTGGGGGAGCGGGGCTGGATGGCTGGGGCACTGGGAGTCCGGTGCAGCCGTTGCATCTCCCCGGCAGGGACCCCAGAGCCCAACCACCTAGGGCTCCCTGGGGCTCTGTGCTGGGCTTGGTGTGGCCAGGGCAAGTGAGCCGGGTAGGGCCACGCTGCACCCTCCCTGCACCAGCCTATGCCCGCTTCACTCTGCCCACCCACACCCTGGAGCTCTCTCTTGTGTTCTCCAGCGCGCATTGCGCCTGGCCCATCCCACTTCCAGGCTACGCTGGGCTAGAGCGGTGCCCAGCAGCCCCTGCTCACAAAGCGAGGCGGACGGACCCCAGCAGGCCTGTCCCAGCGCGGACATACAGGCACGGTGGCTGCCTGGCCCTCTTTTTAAAAGTGCTTTCCCAGGGGGCATGTGGGCACCTTTGTTTCCCTGCAGGAGTCAGCCCCGTTAGCTCTTCCCTGGATCAGCCCAGGGGCAGGCTGTGCTTTCGGGATATTGTGCCTCCAGCCCATCCTGGGTCTTGCAGGCCCCACTTGTGCTGGGGTGAGTCCCTGCCCTGCATGCCTCAGACACTGATCCCCGTTACTGCCGGAGCCTGGACGGACAAGAGCAGGAAAGCGCTGACAGCGAGCTAGGCACTGTACAACCCCCAGCAGGCACAATCCCTGCCCCGCTACCTTCCAACCCTTGCCATGTTTGCCAGCCACACGGGGATCAAGCTGGGTCAACACCGGCAGCTTGCTGAACCAGGGCTCTGCCCCGATCCCAGCCCCCGCGGGCCCATGGAGTAGGAAGCCGGACTCCACGTGTGCCTCTCACAAGGCGGTCAGCCGAGGCTACATGAGCGAGCGATCCCTGCATGTGGCCCCACACAGGCCTGACAGACATGGCAACAGGAAGAGGAACTCAGCAGCAGGGAAGCCCAGCGGGCACAAAAAAACCACACTGTCAGGCTGGAGGGCAAAAGCCACTCCCTGTGCGTCCCACCTGCCCGGCTCACTTACCTCCCGGAGCCCTGCACCAGGGGCCTAGATTCCAGAGCGCAGCGCTGGGCAGGGGTCAGGGTCAGCTGAGAGCTCACCACTGACTGAAGTGAAAACCGAAAGCAGAAGCAGAGAGATGAGGAAGTGGAGCCAAGGCCTTGAAACAGGGCAGGGCTGAGAGCAGCAGGAACAAAACCGCAGGAAGCAGCTGCAGGGGACTCAGAAACCGAAAGTGCAACTCCCCAGCCCTCCCCCGGCAGGGCCCGCTGAGAGGAATCGCTAGGTGCTCCCCGACCCACAGGCTGCGGAGCAGGGGCTCTGACCCTCTCGGCCTCCTAGGGACTCCCATTTACTGGTGAGCCACCCGGGGTGGGCCGTGCCAGGCTTTGAAGCAACGGAAGGGGAGGCCTGCCCTGAAGGCGCCGTCCCAGGGGTTGGCAGGGAGTTGAGGCAGGCTGGGACAGGACTCTGGGAGGTCTAGTGAGATCTGCGGCGCCATCCAGCCCCAGGGTCGCCTTCCATGGAGCTGCAACAAGAGGAAATTCAGTGAAGACAAATGCCAGGTGTAACACTTTGGAAGGAAAAAATCAAATGCCCGCCTACAAAACGGGGCCTAGGTGGTGGTGCTGCTGGAAAGGAGCCGGGGGTCACTGCGGCTCACCAACTGACTGTGAGTCAATGTGATGAAGTTGTGAAAAGGGCTAAAATCCTTCTGGGATGTATTAACAGGAGTGTCACCCGTAAGGCACGGGAGGTCATTGTCCTGCTCTGCTCGGCACTGGTGAGGCCTCAGCTGGAGTCCTGTGCCCAGTTCTGGTCACCCACTTTGGGAGAGATGTGGACAAATTGGAGAGAGTCCAGAGAAGAGCAACAGAAATGGTAAAAGGTTTAGAAAACCTGACCTGTGAGGACGAGTTAAATACACTGGGCATGTTTCGTCTAGAGACAAGAGACTGAATGAGCGACCTGGTATCAGTCTTCAGAGCTGTTAAGGGCCCTTATAAAGAGGATGGATCAGTTGTTCTCCACCTCCACTGAAGGCGGGACAAGAAGTAAGGGGCATCAGCTGCAGCAAGGGCGGTTTAGGTTAAACGGCTGGAGCATTCGGACTCTAAGGGTGCTTAAGCTCTGGAACAGACAGCCGTGGGAGGCTATGGAATCCCTTTCCTTGGGCAAACCCGTCACGGCTGGTCTAGGTTTACTTGGTCCTGCCGCAGCGCAGGGGCTGGACTGGATGAGCTCTCGGGGTCCCTTCCAGCCCTACATTTCTGTGATTCTATGCTGGGCCTCACGTCAGGGCTTCTCTCCCTTTCCCGTACCGGGCCCCCAGCCCCATGCACACTGAGCCAGGAGTGACAGGCAGCTGGAGAAGCCCTGACTGAGTCTTGGTGTGTTCAGTCCCAGCTCCCAGGGATGTGGCTAGCAAGACAACACTGCGGGCTGGTCGGGCTGGGTCTGTCTGCATGAGGGGGAGCCCCAGGGGCGGGCTGGCTGACTGCTGGAGGAAGCCCTCTGGCTGTATATTTATCTGCGAACAAAGGGAAGTGTGAGTGAGGCAAGCGGACAGGGGTGAACCCAGGACCAGCCCCAGGGAAGCCGGGCAGCAGGGCTCCTCTGTGCCCCCGGCAGGGAGAGGAGACATTGTGCCCTCCCCTAATGAGAGAGGTTACGGCTCAGCAGTGAGCGATTCTGAGAGAGGGCTCTGCAGTCCTGCACCCCGGCCCATCTCCCCTTCCTGCTCAGCTGCACGGCCAGTCTCTGAACCTTCAGCCCTCACCCCGTACCGTGGGCCAAACTCTGCTCTCCTGCAGCCCCAACTGGGGTCTGTTCCCGGGAGCCCCTGAGAGCAGGATGTGGTTCAGTCCTGCACCTAGCCCCAGTGCACGGTACCTCTCACCCCAGCACCTCTCCCCTAGTGCCTCCGCTCTGCTTGTGCTTCTGCTTCTCGGCGGGAAGCCCAGAGAGCCCCAGTGCGGCAAAGCTTGGCTTGGAAGCGATCCCCAGCCTCCTCTCCAACCCCCGCGCATCCAGGCCCCGGAGTGGCACGAAACAGCCTCTCAGGAAGCAGCATCTCCTCATCTCTCTGGGGAAAGGATTAGACCATCCAAGGGGTGAGTGGAATTCCCTTCTGCAGCTTTCACAGCCCGCTGGAGATCGTGAGAACCAGTGACCGAGCTGCCTGCTGTGAACTGGGGAAAACCACGCTCCGCGGCAGAACAAGGGGGTCTAAACTGGGCTGATTTCCTTTGCACGGCCCTCCGCTCACCCCCTGGGCCCTCCTGCGCCTGGACCCAGAACCAGCTCTGCCTGACGAGACATGCCAGGGAGACGCCATCCTGCTGAAGCAGTCAGGCCTGGTGTTGGCAGGGGGCAGGTTGTTAGACTCACAAAGAGGTCTCTTCTGGCATGGGGGCATTCCTCTCCTCCTGGCTCCATGGGGAGGAGCTGGCTAGTCACCTTGGGCAGAGATCAGCTGGCTCTGTTGCTACTGAAGAGGAAGTGTTAGATTGGAGATGGAAGGTGTGACGATGTGACGCAGCAGGGAGGGGGGAGTGTTGACCTGGGAATGTGCCCTGGGGATGGGAGACCTGAGAGCCTGTCACCTGAGCCAGGAGGGGGCGGGGGAAGTAACACCTCTGCCCAGGAATGTGGACAGAGGCTGCAGCAGGGAACCTGCTGGGTGGGTTTAGTTTCAGTTTGGGGCTGGGTGGAGGAACACAGGGAACCCCAGGGCTGGGGTCTAAGCTCCCTGCTCCCCCAGAAGGACTTGACTGAGGGGTCCGGGTTGTACCCACAAGATCTGTTTTGGACTGTGTTCCTGTTGTCCAATAAACCTTCTGTTTTACTGGCTGGCTGAGCGTCTCAGTGAATCCCAGGAAGAGGGGTGCAGGGCCTGGACTCCCCCACACTCCGTGACAGAAGAAACATGCTCTCTCGTACTATGAGCACCGGAATTGCCACAGGCTCAGGACAATGGTCCACTGGGTCCTTTCTCCAGCAGCAGCCAGTCCTAGCTGCTAGAGGAAGGGGTCAGCCCTCCCGTGATGGAGCGCTACAGACTATCCTGTCCCTGGGGAAGTTTCTTTCTGAGCTCTACCACTTTGGGGCTGATATGCCCTGTAACACAAGGGTTTATATCACTTATGAATAGCTATCCTCTCTGAGGTCCTGAGAAATCCTTGGACTCAGTAACTGTCTAGTAGCAGTGAGTTCCACAAGCTAATCATACATAGAATTTAAAATATTTTCTTTTCGCTGTTTGAAATGCGTCACCTTATTTATTCAGATAGCCCCTGTTCCCTTGTGCTACAGGATAACTAGAAGCATCCACTTTCTCTTCTCAACCTGGGACATTATTGGATATTTCCTTTCTTATTCAACTCCTCTCTCCAATGACACTCCTAATTTCTCCTCCCTTAGAAAGCTTTCCGATTGTTCCTGCTGCCCTTCGCTAGATGCTATACATGTGCCCGCACAGTATGTGAGATACAGAGAGGCAGGGAGGTGATCCGAATGGCACAGGCTACCCCTGGCCAGGAGGATTTGGACAATGACATTACAATATTTGCAGGATTATTCTCACTCCCTTTCAACTTACATTCAAATGTCTTGTTTGCTTTTTTGGCCCCTGTCATTTGTTGAGCAGATGTTTTTACTGACCCGGTCACAATGATGGCCAGGGTTTTTTTCTGAGCAGATACAATTAATTCGGATCCTGGACACATAGATGACTTAATCTGAATACAAGTCCTAGAGGTGGTGCCAGACCAGGAACACTTTATCCAAATCCCCATGATCTGCATGGGCTGGTTCACACGGAATCAGGAGCCTTTGCAAAGCCAAACCAGAGCCCATCTCTGCTGCACCAGGGGCACAGAAGTTCCAAGCAGCGCACAGGAAGGAGCCAGTGTTACAAACCTTTTATTTGTCAAAAGACAGAAAAATAGACACATGGTGCTGTGTACAAACGAGTCTTGGCCTGGGCCCTGTCGTGTCAACACATGGTCGGGGTATAACACGCACGCTACGAATGCAGAGCCCCGGGAGAGGTGAGGCCCCAGGTCTGTGCTGGGAGAGCGGCAGGTGCCCGGCTGGGCTAAGCCGGGTGGAGCAGGCAGGTCTATTCTGCGCACGCCGGCCGCTCCCCAGAAACCAGTTGCCTGACAACTCCCTGAGATACGTATGGTCAGAGTTCTGGGCTGCTGCCGGCCCCCCACCCCCTGGCCCAAGGGGATGGGGCAGGGCTGACCTGCCACAGGCTCCTGGGGTGGAGCAAAGGGCAGGGTTGATCCAGGACAGGGTCCCCAGTGGGGAGGTTACAGAGCAAAGTCAGCCTGCTGCAGTCACAGGACAAGACTGGGGTGAGGGGGGGCAGGCTGCATGGCACAATAGTGCAAAGACCTCATAGCACCCCCACCCTGCCGGGGCTCACTCTCTGCCCCCCCCGAGGGGAGTGAACTGCTTGGACAGGGCCTTTATTTGCTCATTGCTAGGAGCCCAAGAGCTGTGCCTGGCAAATGGGGCAGGCTGTAGCCGCCCTCCCTGCCCCACCCCAGCATAGTGTGCCCCCTGCCCCTCTGCTTCAGGGGGAGCACTGCATGCTGGGACTTGTAGTCTGTATGGGCTACAGCTACACAGGGAAGGAGAGGTGGCTGTGGGCACCCCTCTTGGGCTCTGATCTGGGCTCTTGGGCTCTGATCTGACATGACCTTGGAACCCTCCCCACCCCCGTCTTGTTCTCGCTCCCACCCAGCGGCATCCCTCTCTACCTCACCAGACGGCAGCCCCTTCTCTGCTCTGCCCATTAGCGTCTCTACCCTCCAAGCTCCACGGAGCCACGGCCCTGGCTGCTGCAAAGGTCAGTTCCCAGGTGACACAAGACAAGGAGCTCCTCAAACGCCCTCCCATGCCTGCTGTCCTGCTGCCCTCTGGGAAAGGCCCCCCCCCCCCCCCACACACACACACACACTTCAGGAAGCTGGTATCAGAGCTCAGCCCCCTCTGCACCCATCCTGCTCCTACACAGACACAAAGACTGGTGCAGAACCCAGAGACGCCAGGGCCTGCCTCAGTTCCCTGGCCACTCCCTGCCTCCGGAACCCTATGTCTGGGAATGGGAATCGCACCATCCCTCTGGGAGGGCACTGCTGGTGATCAGAGTCTGAACAAGTTCTTTGGCACAAGTAAGCGGGAGCCCCCTAGACCAGGGCACGCTGGAAGCGGGAGCCCCCTAGACCAGGGCACGCTGGAAGCTTGTTCCCATTTAGTCCTGTCTGCCCTGAATCGCCGTGTCAGGCTAAGGCACTTTCCTGCTCTGCAGGATTCAGACACGTGCCTGGACAACCGCAGCTCCCCCTCTGAGGCTCTTGGGTTTGCAAGTCTTGGCTCTGGGCCCTGCTGGGGCCGCCAAAGGCCCAGCGTTACCCGGATCTGAGCAGCAACCCCCCTTAGACAAACAGTCACCAGCCCCAGCTCGCCTGGGGCATCCGACAGTCTAAGGTTCCCTGGGGGCATGGAGGGCCCCTTCGCTAATGCATCCTTGGGGATCCTCTGAATGCTTAACTGTGCAGATCTTCCTCCTCCTCCTCCACCTCCTCCTGACTCCAGGTGTCTGGCACAACTTGCTCCAGCCCCTGCTCCCCAGAGGGGTTTGTGCACGAGTCCTCGGAGGCAGCACCACCGCTCGCTAGCCAGGGGTGGAGCAAAATCTCACGGGCCGTCAGTCTCTCAGACGGGGTCTTGCGCAGGAGGCATCGGACAAGGCACCTGGCCTTGGGGGAGAGGCCATCCGGGATGGAGAAGACCCCTCGGCGGATCTTGCTGAAGAGCATGGCAGGCTCAGTGTCCTGGAAGGGGTATCGCCCCACCAGCATGGTGTAGAGCACCACACCCAGGCTCCACACGTCAGCCGCCTTCCCTGAGTAAGAGTTCTTGGAGCTGAGGATCTCCGGGCCCACGTATGCCGGGCAGCCATGCTTGTCCGACAGAGAGTCATCTGGGCCGCTCAGAAGACAGGCGTCCTCCAGGTTCTCCAGCACCAGCTTTGTCCTGCAGAGAAAGAGGGAAAGCCCCAAGTAAATCAACAGCTGCAATCCAACTGTGCTAGGTAGGTAGGCCACAGAGCTAGACCCCAGAAGTCCGGACTCCCAGACAGCAGCTCTCAGCATGAGACAATGGTACCGCCCCAGAGAACTAGGTGGGAACTAACTTCTTAAGTGACCAAGACAGGGAGGGATTGGAGGGAGGTGCAATCGGAGAAGGCTTTAGAGCTAAGCCCTGGCGGCTCTGCAAGGATGCAAAGGTCTGAATTCCCTGCAGCACAAGCAGACCTCTGTGGAGCTATGCAAGGAATAGGGCCCAGAACGAAAGCTGAAGCCAGAATGACCCTGAGCTACACCCTAGGGGTCTGTTAGCTCACTGCCATGCCGCTGTGATCAGTGGCCCTGTGGACACAAAACACAAGGCCCCAGGAGCTTCCGCAATGTGCAGGGGGTACGTGGGCTCAGCCTGGCTGAAGAAGCAGGTTTCGAATGGAAGTGGGGCTCAGGAACCCCACCCTCCACTAGCACTGATAAGCTGCTGTCTCTCTTTCCCTGGCTTTCCTGGGGTCAGACAGCCGGCGTCCCAGCAAGGCTGCTGCAGCCGCACACATGGAGAGCTCATTCCAGAGCTTTGGCTGGGCTCTGCACAACAACCGTATTGACGAGGAAAATGGCACTGGGCTCCCATGCATTGGACCCAGGAGTCCTGCTCCCCATCAAGCCCGCTGCGGGGCCCCTGATACTGAAGAATGAAGCTGGACGCCAGCCCTCACCTCTCCCTGTCCACGAAGAGGAACTTGCGGAGTTTGAGGTCTCGGAGGATGACCCCATGGTCATGGCAGTGGGCGACCGCTTCGGCCATCTGCTGGAAGAGCCCAGCGGCCTCTCTCTCGGGTAGCCGCTTGCGGCAGCGGACGTGGCTGTGCATGTCACCTCTGCCAGGCTGGAAGAAGATGTAGACATTCTGGTCCCCTTGGATCACCTCAGCAACCTGGGCCACGTTGGGGTGGGGTGAGAGGTGCCCGTAGGGGGCCATCGTCTCTGGGTAACTCCTTGCCGGATAAACCTAAAAGAGGAACGACACGAGGCATGAGGAAAGCATCCCGGAAAGAAAGGCAAGGGGATGGTGCGGGCCAGGCCGTGCACAGGCCTCAAGACAATCGCTCCCTCCTGTCCACAGTCCTGCTGCCACAAGGGATCTAGGGCTCCGTCTAAGTGGGGGCAGGAGGTCTCCGATCTGCCCATACCTCACTCTCCTGTGCCATGCTGTTCAAGTGTTCTTAAAAAGAACAGGAGGTCTTGTGGCACCTTAGAGACTAACCGATTTATTTGAGCATGAGCTTTCGCGAGCTACAGCTCGCTTCATCGGATGCAGACTAACACGGCTGCTACTCTGAAAAGGGTTCTTAAATTTCACAATGTAGCCACCAGGGGGCAGCACTGCTTAGGAGGAACCTGAGGAGCAAGGAGAGGGGAGGCATGGACCAGGAACCCACTACCCTTGTACGGGTCTCATATCTTCCCTGCCCAGCATCAGAGGATGCATGCCCGTCCGTCCCCTGTCCACTCGTGGAAGTCCAATTCTCTCCCATGCCCAACAGGCTGAAAGGGGGAGCTGATAAACCTGAGGGGGACCCCAGATGGGGATGGAGAAACTTTCCAAACAAACCCCTTGCCAATGCTGTTCTCTGCAGCCAGAGCCCATGCGGGCCCTGAGGCTCACCTGCCCTTTACCAGTCGAACAGACCAGTGCCAGAGGGGCTGGCACAGGCGGCCCCAGAAAGCCTGGCACACCACTGCACTGGTGTCCCCAGAGAGCTGCCCCCAGGGGGCTCCCCACAGCGGGCATCTCCACCAGCGCATGAAGTGCCACAGCATTTCCCCAGAAACCATCTGAATCTCACAGACTTCCCCAGGGCACAATCTCCAGGAACACTGGGCTCCGTTTCCTTGCAGAGACTGGCACCAGAAACCCTGCTGTACCTTGCAGCTGTACTCCGTCTCCGTGTGCGTGTGCACAGCCCTGTAGGAGTGGCCCTCTTCCCTGGGCTCCAGAAGGATGTACGGTCCAATCCGCAAGACCCTGGAGTCCTGGTCCACGGCACAAGGTGGCTGTGCAAGGGGCTGCAGGCATGGAGTGAGTCCTGACACTGGACCCAATCGGGGACGCTTGGGCTTTGAGGCCTCTGAGTCAGGGGTATCCTCGAAGTCCAGCCGTTTCTTCCTGAGTGGAGACGCCACAGGGATCACCTGAACGTTTCGACTCATCTGCAGAACGAGACGACGGAAGGGCTGCATCAAGATGCAGCTGCAGTGCGACACCAGTCGCTTCAAGACAGACAAGCCAGGAAACCCCTGCTCTGGCAGCACAGGTTTGTTCTCCAGCAGGCGGAGAGCAGCCCCAGCTCCTGGTCCATACAGACATCTACCGGGTGGGGCTCCTACGCGCCATGCGCTGTAGTTAGCCCTTGGTTTCCAGTTTCACAGCCTTAAGTATTCCGCTGGAATCAGATGCAGCGTGAGTACGACAGTCTGCACAAACCCGGGCCAGAAGCACCTGCTTCAACTCCCCGAGAAGGACATTTGTGCCTCCCTGCTCCCAAGGAAGACCCAGGCATTCAGAACAGCTGGCTCTGATTAACTGTAATTACTACAGTGAATGGAAGAAAGCCCTAAGTTAAGCCTTAGTTCACCCAAAGCCAAGGGAGAAGTATTTCTGTCGAAAACTTGCCACCCACTGACGTCCTGTCCAAAGCAGTAACGGCCCCAGCCAGCCAGCACCAGCGGGTATGTGTCTGAGGAGGATGTGTGCGTGCATTCACGGCTGATGATGTAATGATACGGTCTCACAGTGTAATAATGGTGAGTGTGTGTCATGATAGCATGGGTTTGCCTCTCCCCTAGTGTAACAATAGTGAGTGCATGTGTCATAGTGTAACAATGACGGGTGAGTGTGTGTGTGTGTCAGAGTCATGACAATGTCTCTCTCTGTGTAATAAGGATGTGTGCGTTTATTAGGGCAATAAGGGGGCTGGGTGCATGTGTGTGTCTCCATGTGATAACGGTGGTGAGTGCATGTCAGTGTCATGATAGCGAGCGTGTGTGTGTCTCACAGTACAACAATGGTGGTGAGTGTGTGTCTGCTGATGGTGGGGGGTGAGCCTGCAGAAAGCCCCCCCATCCAGCTGTGAGCCCCCCCCAGCAGCCAGGCGAGCCCGGCAGCCTGCACCGGGCCTTGCCTGCTCAAGGGGGCAGCCTGGCGCCGTTCTCCACCCTCCCAGCCAGCGCTGCACAGTCCTGCTGCGGCTGCCGCTTAGTCACTGCTACCCCACGGCTGCCGACGGGGGGCCGGGCACCCCCCTTCCCCGCAGCGCCGGGCACCCCCACACACAACACTGGACACACATACCCCACTACACCGGGCACCCCCCTTCCCGGCAACACCAGGCACACACCCCCATAGCACTGGGCACCCCGAGCCGGGCTCCCCCCTTGCTCCCCAACACCGGGCAGTCGCCCCCCCCCCGGCCCAGGCCAGCCAAACACACCCTCGCTCCTACCCCGTGCGCGCTGCCCCGAGGCCAGGGGCACCCGGGGCGGCTCCCCGCAAAGCCCGGCCGAGTGGAACCGGAGCGCGCCCCGAGGGAGACCCCCGCCCCGGGGAGCAGGGCGCCGTACCTTCGGGGGGCGGGCGGGGGAGAGGCTCGGGACTGGCTGCCGGTCGGGAGCGATCCCCGCAGGCCGATCCCGGAGGATCCTGCTCCCGGAGTCTCAGACGCCCCGATCCGCCATTGTCCCGGGCTGCTCTGCTCCGGGGGTCCTGCCCCGAGCCCCGGCCGGGGGGCGATCGATGGGCAGCGGCTAGTCTCCGTGCGGCTGCGGCGGGCGCTTTGTTCGCGGGACTCGCTCCGATTGCGCCGGGGAGGCTCACATCGCCCGGCCCCCTGGCTCCGAGTCCCAGATCCCGGCGGGTGATGTAAACCAGAGTTAATCTTAGCTTCCCCCACCCGCCCCCGTGCCGCGCTGCCGCGCTCCTCTCCCGGCGCCTTCCCTCCGGCTCCCTCCTGCTCCTGGCGCGGCTGATGCTGAACTCACTCCGGATTGCAACATGCCCCGGCCGCAGGCCCGCCCCTCCGCTTTCCCTGCCGTGACGACACGCGGAGGTTCACACTCGCACTCAACCCTCCGCCGGGTGGAATTGCGCCACTCCCAGGCTCGAATTACTCAAACCCGCGTCCGGATTGCACTCTGATTACACAGGCCCTGGCGGCTCCCCCCGCCCACCCCCCGGCTCCTGGAATCGGAGGGGTACCCCCGGCTCTGGCTAGCGTGTTCCCGGCCTGCTTTGTGACCCGGTTTGTGTATCTAGCACCGCGGGCCGCCAGCTGTTCGAGCAGCGGATTGGAGGCTGGTTTCAAAGCAAAATGTCTGGGATGGTGCGAGTGGGGGCCTCCAGAAAACTCTGTGCCGGGGGGAGACAGGGCCATGTCGGCCCACAGCACTGCCCTATATACAGGCAGACTCAGTATATTCCAGCCCAGAAATTCAGAAGTAATCCCCTCCCTGCCCCTCCTCCTGCACCTATGCAAAATGAGCTTAAATGTGAATGCCCCCCCCCCCGTCCCCATTGCCCTGCACTTGGCACAGCAGCCTTGCACCAGTGCGAACAGCAATGGCGGACTGCTGGTCGGCCTGCACCCACTTGTGGAACTGACTCCCCAAAGCCAAGGGCAGTGAGGAGACAGGTCTCGTGAGACGCTTCCATGCAGCAGCAGATAACAGTCCTGCACCTGAGGGGTCTCCGAGTCCATTTGCACGTCCGGTTATCCTGATTGTGCCCCCCTCACCACTGCGCTAAACGTGTGCGCCAAACTGGGCCTGCGATTCTCCAGCTGCAACCCGGAAAGCGGGTCCTGGGCCCCTGGAGGCTGTGCACTGGCCTGCCCCTGCCCCTTGCACCTCCTCTGCCTACCCCTAGCCACTGGATGTTGGCAGGGCGGACTCAGGGGCCGCTCATGCCACCCCCGCAGGTGAAGCAGGGAAGGGTGTGAGCAGTGGCGTTATCCGGCCAGCAGCGCACCTGGCTGACAAGCGCTGAGTATCGGGGGAAGGGGAGGCCTGGCTCCAAGGAGCTGCACAATTCATGCCCCAGCGCGGAGCAGCTGAAGGAGAATCAGAGCAGGCACATCCCGCCAGGCCCCGTCTTTCCCTTTCTAATCATTTTCCAGGCTTGCCACCTGGCAAAGCCACCGGAGCCCCGAGCTTCTGCTCCCAGCCAGCCTCCCAGATCTCAGCCTTCCGCTTTAGTTGTGCTGACATGCCGTAATCCCCATGGTGAGCCGGCCCGGCAGTGGTGCAAGTCACTGTTTATGGCACTACACTAGGGCATAGGTTGCTGAAACTTGTTCATGGCCCGTTTATCCCGGTTCTTCTTGTGCCAGCTTTGCCCTTTAGCTTAAATGGCTCTTCACACTCCTGGTGTTCAGCCCGGATGTATTTGTAGAGAACGGTCAGATCCCCGCTCGGCCTTCATTTTGCTAGGCGAACCAAGCCAAGCTCTTAGTCTTCTCTCAGACCATAGGCCTCCAATCCCCTGACCATCCCAGGAGCACCTGCCCCAGTCTGAATTCGTCTTGCTTGAACATGGGGGCCCAAGACTGTAGACAGGGGTCCAGCTGAGGCAGAATGCATCGACCCGGATTGGAATCTGGCCAGAATGCCGGAGCAAACCCTCTAAGTTTCGCTGAGAGTCTTGTTGGGAGGGATTTTTAAGAACCCTAAGTGCTCAGCGCCTTGGGTTTACATCTCATGTCAAGGCAAGATCAAACTGAATTGGCGGAAGGAGAGACTCCTATCCTCTGCTGACAGCAACCTTGTTTCTCTTTTGATATCGCATGCCAAGGCGAAGCTGTTAGGTCTGTTACCGGGCACCCTGCCATGAGAGGCGCGGAAGTCACTCACAGGGAAGGAACTGGTAGCTAGTTCTCAGAGGCTGCTGCACCTGCCCTATAGGATGAACGTTGTTATGATCTTTATTTGTAGAATGCCAAGCAGGGCTTTGGAGCTGTGCTCCGGCTCTGCTCCTGCTCCAGCTCCAGCTCCAGCTCCGGGCTCCGCTCCAAAGCCAAGTAAATGCAAGGCACTTGGACCCAGCCCAGAGCTGACCAGCCCATCCAAGCGCTCCGGAGGACGCTATGGGTTAGTGTCGGCAGGCCCTGGACACCAGCTGGAATCTAGCTGAAAGCATTTGCTGCGATCATGGAATCACAGACAGAACAGGATGAGACCTACCCAGTCAGCCCTGCGGATGAGGAGACAGAGGAAGCATTTCCTTTCATTGTGCAGAATAGATCTTTGTAGGTTTCATTCTGACTGTGCCACAATGGGAGGGAGACCCCATCTTTGTTTCCCAGTCCCATTCACTTAGTCCCTGGGACAGCAGGAGCTAGGGGCAGATGGGGAGAGAGAGCGCATCTCAGCAACCATGCCAGTCGGTTACAGCATGACACTGCTGGGTTCCCAAGGGAGCCCCATCCCAGGCTCCTGGTTTTGGGGGCTGCGGTGCTGTGCATATAGAGAGTGGAAAGCAGGGGGTCCACAAATCCCTGCCAACTTTATGGAAAAACCTTCCAGGGTAGATTTAAAATACCCACAATGGAAGAGCTGTGCAAGGCACTTCCCTGACGTGGGGGCCGTATGATCTTTGAGCGTTTCCTATATCGTGCAGTTCCTTTCAGAGGAATTTTGCCTCCATCCTGTATGGTTTGTTGTGATGAGCAGCAGCAAATGGCTCTGTTTCCTTCCGGAAATTTTCCGTGGAATACACGCTGAAAAATAGCAAGCATAATTAGCAAGAGCTGAGCTGATCCTGGAGTCAGGGCTTTGGGGAGCCCCGAGCCCTGGTTGCAAATGCTCCATTGGGCAACAGACCCTTAGACTGTTTCAGTGCAGGGGTCAGTCTCCATCATGATCAAAGTGCCACAAGGTTTCCTACTCGGACTGGTGTTGGTTAGGGTGTTTGTTAATGAAATGGGAAAGGGGAGAGCAATGTGGTGGCAACATATGCAGATGACCCAAAATTATTTAGCTTAGACAAGATCCAAGAAGGTGGTGAGTTCCAGAGGAACAGGAAAGGAGCCAGCATATTCCCAGTGAGGTAGGAAAGAACTGAGGGAGACTCATCTTTGAAAGAGAAGGTACATACTGGAGTGTGTAAGAATTGGGCAGTATCCCTTTAAATAGTTGGCGAGCCTTCTAGTGGCCCTCACTGTGTTCTTTTGTTTTGGAGCCTCCAGAAACCAGGCAGACAGCAGGATGTCCATTTGCATATATTTAGTGAACCCAGTTATTTGGGACCCAGCTGCGCCCTGGTGGGTTCTCCATATTGATTTGGTTGTGCAAAGAGCAACAGATGCCACGTAGGCCTTTAAGGAGCAGGGCAGCACATGGCCACAGCCCTGCCATATAAAAGGCAGCCTGCTCAGTTCAGGGATGTCTCTAGGGGAGGCTGGATGGATCGGCCTGTGGGTGCTGGAGGCTGGTTGGGGACCTGGGGGAGCTCGCTTTGGGGGAGAGGGGTAATTGTGGGGTGTCTCTGAGAGGCACCTCATCAGTGTCTGTCTGTCTTACACTGTGCCTGTCATTGTGGTCTCTGAGCAGATTCCAGGCTTCGGGGGGGTTGGCTGACAGATGAGTGCTTTGGAGGCCTTGGCACCAGGTGCCACCCCAACAACCCGAAAGTGTCCCCTCTCCTGCTGCTCGTGCGCCTATTTGCGCTTATTGCTTAGTGCCACAGGTGCTCGGCCCCCCCACCTGTCTCTCCCTGTGAGTACCACCCGTCCCGTCAGGCCCCCGTTTGCCTTTGTCCTGCACAGGCTTGGCAAGATTCCCGTTGTTATTGCTATAAGTGACTGACACCAGCGGTTAACCAATGACATGTGGATTTAGCTCTTATCTCGGGGCAGTTGCTGTGGGGTTGTAAAGGGGCCTCGTGCTGTAATGCGGCCCCCTGGCCCTAGGGGACAAGCACGTGGGAGATATAAGCACTAAAGTCTAAGGGAAAGTGTCCTGCTTGAGTCAAGTGCGGTATGACATGGAGAATAGATCATGATCACTGACTAGGGTGAAATCTCTCAAACAGCTTTCCTAGGGATGAGAGAAATTATCGTCTGGCTAAAGCTGGTCACCAGCTAAAAGCTGAACATACTTACAGTGGGAGCTTTGGGGATTTTAGCACAATCCCTTACTAACATTTGCCGTTCTCTGGCTTTGGAGGATTTCAAAGCACTTTAGAATGAGGAAGTTTCTATCCCCATTTTACAACTAGGTAAACTGAGGCATGGGGCGAGAAAGGGATGTGTCCAAGCTCGCACAGGTGGTCAGCAGCAGAGCTAGGAATAGAACCCAGGTCTTCTTTTCACCTGCTCTAACCACTAGGCAATGTCATAAGTAACAATCTGGCTAAGTCTCCAAGGCAAATGAGCCGAACACATCCCAGGATTGGAGTAGCAACACTCGGCACAGTACACAAATGAAGTACTCAGTGAAGAAGGGGAGTGACACTTTGCCCATGGGACAGCTGGGGAAAGGGAGGCACAGAGTCAGGAAGTGACTTGCCCGGAGCCAGGAACAGAACCCGGGAGTCCTGTCCCCAGCCCAGTTGGTAACTGAGCTGGGATGAGCTATGAAAGTACCTGGCTCCCAGACCCATACTCAGTCCACTAGACCATGCTGCTTGCCATGGGAAGAACAGGGCTGCCGCTGTGCTGGGGCAGACAGTGCCATCCTCCTTCACCTACGCCACGGCAACCCTGTGGAATAATAGGCCTAAGGATACAGCCATTCCAGCGCTCAAGGT